TCTGTGTATATATATCTTTGACGCTATCAGTTATATTAAATAAATACTTTGAGTGACAACATAATTATCTCTTTTAGAAGTTTTTTCAAATGCTCATTTTCCCCAAGCCAGCTCTAGCTGTTTTCATTAAAACAAAGAAATCGTAAAAGTCTTTGATAAAAACCAGCTAAAGACATAAGCTTCGATAATCATAATATTCCATAGATACACTTTTATGAATACACTTACTTCAAAAATGTGACTTTCAGGCCGTTTTTTATCATGCATGTTATGTTTACGTGTTTGTTTTGTCTAAAATGATACGGTGCTACGCGCAGGATGATAAATTTTCGACGGTACGCGGAAAAATGATGCGTATACCCTTGACACCGTGTATGTGAACCATCGGCTATTTTGGACCGCCCCTCATTATAACACTTAGAAGTACAATTCTATTAAGTTCTTCACTTAAAAATGACAATGAAATTGTCCTTTTTCTCCTGGCGTCCACCCAGTGCCTGTACATTCAAATGAATGCTATTATTTTTGTGTGATGTGAAATTCCTGGTAATCATGCCACTATTTCATAATAACCTTAAGAAAATATAGTCAATGCTTAAATTCATAAAATCTTGTAATGATATATTTTGTACAAGTAAACTATAAATTTAGGGCGATAAATCTCCTGATCAACACGTTATCATATTTTAGTTGTTAATACTACTTAATTCATCATATAATGTGGTTCCAATACTCACCACAAAATTTTATTGATGTAGGGTGTTTTGGAACCATAAATATCAAATGTTAAGTATGTTTATATTATATATAATAGAAAGGTAATAATAACTAGTGAAGTTGTGTTTGTACGTAGGATATGTTTTTTGTAAAAACCATCTGAAAACAAAATTAGAAAAGGGCAGAGAAAATAAGGATAAAACAAATTGACTCAGACTTAAAGCGTGAAAAACTGAAAAGCAAAAGGGAACCCGACTCCTTAGATTCCAACATACCAGTTTATTGTGAGAGGATAACTTGCAAATATGGATACTAGCATTACTTTTACATGCTAATCCTGCAACATTCCTTTTGTTAACGCTATATATACTAGCACGTTTAAAGCATAGCACAATCTATGGTAATTCTTATTACAAAATAAAGACAAGAAAACAAGGAATAACCAATTTGACATTTATTTTTATCCAAGAATAGCGCTTATTAATGCACCTTTATGTGCATCAACGTCTGCAGAAGACCTCAGACTTTTTAAATCCCTCATTGTGTGGACTTGGGCTTTAAATGTGCCCTCATGCTTATTAAGATATTAATGCTTACAAAAAGGGGCATTAACCCTCTTATAGCAATCGAAATGAACAGATAAATTGAATCACATTTTGACCATTTCACCTCACATGCTCTATATAAAGCATCATAAAATATTTAATTTCGACTTGTTAAATTAATTTTGAATCAAACTGAACTGTGAAAAATATGATTAAGTGTTCTATGTTCTGTTACCTAACTAGATCTATTTTTAGACTTAAATTAATGTGTCCCAAAATGCTCTTCTTTCTGCACATAAATACCCGACGTGTCCCGAAACTGCCTCCTCATGTAGTTCTTTTGAACAAGATATATTGATAGATTAAAGTCACACAGAGTTTATCCTAAATATTCAATACCAATACTGAAACAAGCATATCTAAAATCACAGTAACAAACATGCCTTAGATGTCCCAATATACCCGACAACGCTCTACATAAATTAATTTCTTTTTGCATTTTTAATGTAAAAAACTGTAGTGGTAGCTAAAAATACATATAAATCTATGTTGATAAATGTATTTTGGATATATGTACTAGTGTACCATAAAAGATTATGATATCCCAGAACAACCAATATTTAATAAGTTATGTATTTTTTAGCCCATAATGAATGGAAGGGAAAATGGTGCTTTAAATTTATTCTAGCTATTAATGCATCTATCAACATTTATTCATTATAAGGTTAGAACATTTTTATTAAGTCTTGATCTTGCTTTGAAAACATTTAAAAACAATATAACCCACTCAGGTCATTCCTCGGATTATTTTAACCTAAATTCAAACAGCAGGGTAAACATCCCTAAAAATTTTGTTCAAGATATGCCAGGGTTACTAAAAGTTGTAGAAACTATTCAACAATTTTCATTAGTTATTCAAGAATTTAAAACACATAAACTAAATGTTGAAATATATGAGTCACGCCATGACAAAACCAACATATAGTGCGTTTGCGACCAGCATGGATTGTGACCAGCTTGCGTATTTGCGCAGTCTGATCAGGATCCATGCTGTTCACTTACAATCCCTATTACAAGTAGAGAAACTGATAGCTAACATCATGGATCCTCATCAGACTGCACGGATGCGCAATAATAGTATACTTGGTTCCTATGATATCACGGGTTCTATGATATCACAGTATTTACATTTTCTGTCATTGCAAGTAAAAACGGCATACGATGATGCTAATATTTTTAAAACTGGCTCACTAAATTCATTTTCATTTGCCAATAAATTTAATTTTGTGAAAAATTAATGTATTGTGGGAAGAAAACTATTTTATAAAATCTTCATATTTGACTACTATTTCCCTTAGTTGTTTTTACACACTGTATTGAAATCTGTTACAATCACATATACGGATATATCGTCAATTCATATAGTTTGAATAATATAGCAAATTAACTGTTTGAAGTTTTTCGCAACTTAACTTGAAGATTTTGACCTATCTATCTTTCCATACTTGCATATTTGGGGATTACTGTGATACCATAGCAACCTCCTCTGTATTTACCCAAAGTGGCAGACGTTGGAAATAGTTTTAAAAATGTCATTTTCATTGGGTTTTTTTAAATAATTTTTTGACAAACAGTTCTGGAAAAGGTTCACTTATTAGCTAGAAGAAAAATCTCATTCATGTAGGATATTTATATTTGAATATTTTCAAAAAGCGTTAAGTACCGTGATACATAGAACCCCGGGCTACAATAATTTTGTACCATGTTATGATTGATACAACAAATGAAATTTATTACTTATTCAATTTCACCATGACCGTTTGACATAATATGTAAAACATGAACTCACACATGTTTTAATTGAAGGATATACCTTGTTTAAGTCACTTTCTATTCAATTAAATTATTTTCTGACTGGTGTCAGGTACAATATCATCCTGGTCAATGCACATGAACTTGAAATTCTATCAAGATTAATGATAATATCCAAATAACACCCTATACAGTATAAAAAAACACAAGGAATGAAATTTGATGGATTTATGTATTGTTTATCGAAATGGCCCGATAGATTATTTTGATCTGTTGTTTTGTTGATTTGTTTGGCGTAAATTATGTTGGGGTGGGGAAAAGGTGTTTCATTCCTTGTGTTTATTTATACTGTATAGGGGGTATATTTTGGATATTGACCTTTTCGAAAACCTAGCTAAACACCGTTTTCCGGTACGTTACGGATTTAGCTCTGGGGAATTACACCAAATGAAGTACATAATACATGATGTTTCTATTTTTCTATCATTCTTTTACCGTTTAAGGTGACAAAAATTGATGTATTTGAAAATTATCTATATTCCTTTAATATATATTTTAAATTTTTCAAAAAATAAATTGTTTACAATGAAAATCAATAGAATTAAAACAGACGTTGTGGAATCTTCCATAATAAATAAGGTTATTTTCTGTGTAAACTTGTGTATTTACTTTGTTTTTTGTAAGGAATTATTCATACAATGATATTTAATTATTTTCTTATAAAAAATAACTTGTTTTATTTCAATTTAATTTTAAAAAGGCCGAAAACATCGAGTTCGCTATTACACTCCATTTGGTGAATTCCCCAGAGCTATGTACAGAAAGTACCAGAAAACGGCGTTTAGCTAGGTTTTCGAATTCGTGAATTATTCCCTGCGGTCTGGAGACCGCAGGGTATTGGTACGCGTTTAACTTTTGAGGCATGGAGGAGCACGTGACCTGTTTTCGGTACATGGAGGAGCATGTGATCTGTAAACCGTATATGATTGGTTAATTGACCTTTTCGAAAACTCAGCTAAATACCGTTTGCCGGTACGTTACAGATTTACCTGTAGGGAATTAGTCCGAATTATTACACCTAATTGAGAACAAAAATCTATTACGTGATATTTCTAATTTTCTATAATTATTTTACCGTTTAAGGTGGAAAAACTTGAATGCTGTCTTTGAAAATTATCAATGTTTTTTCAATATCTATCTCAAATTTTACAAACAATAAATTGTTTATACTGAAAATCTACAAAATTAAAATATACGTAGTGGCATCTGCCATAATAAATAGAGATATTTTCTGCGTAAACTTGTATGTTTACTTTATTTATTTTTGCTCGGAATTATTCATAAAATGGTAGGCATATTTAATCATTTTCTTAAAAAGAAATAATTGTTTTATGTTCGACCTTCTCCGGTCTTCAACGGTCACATACAGTTTCCAAAGACCTTCTTCTATATTGTTCGATTATTGTCAACTATGTTCCTGTTACAAACGTTTATTTATCCCCCCCCCCCAAATAATGTTGAAAATAGTAAAATGAAATATCTTTATATCATTAAAATGTTCACCGCAGGAAACCATTTTACTTGTCATTAATATTGATAGAATTTCATGATCCTGTGGTCAATGCAATTTTCACCAATTTTAGTTGTGTTAAGTCACAAGAATTTCTATAAAGATGTTTCACTACTGATACTTAAAGACCTTTTGAATGCTAGATGTTTGAGAACTGGTTTGTCCAGATAAATTGAATTCGTCCGAATATTTGGGAAATCCGAAAGATACTACATTCTCAGATATTATTTTTTTAATTCAGCGCACTAAACACTAAATGACAGCATATATAATATTATTTTGCATAAACATTATTCATATTTATATAAACTGACAATGAGTTGCAAATATCTATCTCTACAGAAACAAAATATAACCTATTTTCTTTTTGTTTCGTTTCGTTCAAAGCCTTGATAATGGCCGTGTTGTCACTCCGGTATGTACAGCTAAACTCTGGTATTTCCGATTACGGTAAAAACTCTCAAGTAGGGTTACAATAATTAAAAAATGATTATGAAATACAATCTATACTGAAAGGAAAAGAAATCTTTTGGATAAAAAAAATAAAATCTTTTGGTCTATCGAATTTGTTGGTCTATCGTGAAACCGGTGTTTTAAATAATATCCATATTAGAATTTTCAATCAAAATGTATGGTGCTAAAGTACTAAATTGAAGTCCCTAAAACAACCTGATATATATTTTACTATATACATAACAATCATTGTTTTATTATAAGTTACTCTTTGTATAAAATTAATTATATTCTTTATAAAAAAATCCATATCTTATGACCTGAAAAACATATAAATATAACCATAGTAAATAATTAAAAAACAACAGAGCAAACAATATTTATTTATTTATTAATTAGGAAGATTATGTGAAAACTCTGATTACACGTTCTGAAAAAAGGCAAATTTGTCCTTTGGCTTTATCAGGTATATATATTTATACGTACCTGGCTTTATTTATGTTTGTTTTAAGCTTAAATATAAAGTATCCCAAATGTCCCAAAACACTTTTTTCAACTAGTTAAGAAAAGCCGGAGTATATACAGTACGCTTGCAATCAGATTATAAACAGTTACGCATGCTTGGTTTCCAAAAGGTTTAAAAGTAAATGTATACAATATTTATTTGACTAAAATGTAATACATGAATTAAATTGGTCATACAGGGGATATACAATATTATTAATATAGAAAAAAAAACGGAATCTTTATAAAAAAAACAACAACACAAAAAAAACACTCCGAAAACGACAAATTTGAAATTGTGCGTTGCAGGCTCAGTTTGACCAGAGATTATTTATAACTATTAGTAATCTATGTCCCTGGTTTCATTGAGCCTGTTCATGAACGGTACTGACTCATACAAGAAGGATACAGGAAGATTTTGTTTATTTTAGTTCGTCATAGTGTCATACAATATATACAGGAGAATCACAAAACTACAAGACTCATGCAGAAGCTAATTATATTTTAGTACAATGTAGATTAATTCTAATGATATGACTTTTAAATCAAAATACATGTACATTGAGCACATTATGTACTTTAATGTACGATGATTACTAATTGTGACGTAATCGTATAATATGTGATATGAAACACAATATATTACAAGGACGTTTCCCTGTACAGCTAGAGCATTGTTAAATATCTTGGTTGTTGATAAATTGTGATAGAATGTAAGGTTTATATAAGTATGTTTAAATCTTTTATATTTCGCAAATCATTACTTATAAACACAAGTTTGGAACTTTCTATATTTAACCGAGGAAATGTAAGTTAAATGATAGATATAATTATTATTTTGTATTTATTCAATAATTTGATTAGATGTATTTCATTTTATCCTAAAGTGTTGCTTTGTTTTTGTTTTTTGTTGTTGTTTTTTTTTTCTAATATTTTATAAGTTTGATAATATTCATGATATTCTTTGTTTAATTTGCCAACTTGCAAAATAAATGTTTGATCATTTAAAATATTTCAAATTCACCAAACATAATGCTTTCCATTTGTTGTATAAAAGCAAAATTATTTAATTTAGCGATTTTCTTAAATGTGTACATTGTTTGCTGCACATGTTTGTGTTGATAAGACTAATGTCATATTTTGCGGTTCGGATCGGAATATCCGTCCCGAGGTGACCCGCCCATTGGGCGGTAACGAGGCTTGCCGAGTTACCGCCCATGGGCGGGTGACCGAGGGACGGATATTCAGATCCGAACCGCAAACATATGTCAGATATTTTTTCTTGCATATTCTACCATATTCCATTATATTTTAAATTCTTTATCTTTATTTTCAATGAAAATTTATATCATTACAACCGTAACTACTTTCATTCAACAGCGTATGAATTACAAAATCATTCATAACGGTAAAATGACGTCATCTTTATCGTGCCACAGTACGCGTGTACAGCACGCGACTCATCTGGAACTCCCCATGCCAGATGAAATTTCCGGCATGGGTAAAACTAACGAAAACGCCAGTCTGATATGCAAGAATGTATTCTACCTATTTTTGCCATATCAATATATACAGTCTACCTAACTTTGTATTTGTTGCGTTCATTATTTTCACAGGTGTGCATAACCTTAGACCTGCATTCTTAAAACCCTACATATCCCGTAAAAATACTTAGTGTCCAACTTTATTTGTCATCCAATTCCTAATATTGTGTGCGTTAATTTTCATAAAAGAATAAATGTCGATACTATATCGAATTCCGTTCATAGTCGATTTCTATTTTTCAAAGTACATCATGGAACCGCATAGTGACGTAATAAAGTGAGTGATTATGAGGCCAAATAAAGCTTGATAATAAGTATGTTAGTCATCCGTAGCTGTTCTACAGAAATTAGAAACATTCTCCTATCGCTCCCGTCGAAGTTTCTATTTTCTGTAGAACAGCACGGATGAACACTAACATATACAAGAAGTCTGATCCCCCTTTTTTTAATTTGTATAATTCAATTTAATTTTAACAGATTGTAAGGTCTAAGTTATGGCGTCAAAAGATGAACCAGAACAAATGAAAGAAGATAGTCAGAATTTCGTTCTAAAGAACGTTGGCAAATTTTGGATCCTGAAAACAAATAAAGACTTAAAACGCCTTGTATTTCTTGACAATGCTAAAGATGTTAGAATTGATGAAAACATTCTAATAGCTGATGAAAGATTATTTGAAATACACAAAAATGAAACAGGTGAATATCTATTTCGCCGTCTTCAGGATCTGACATACGAGACATATTTTGTTACGAAAGAAAGCTCAGGTGGACAATTAACGACGAAAAAACACATTGTTGATATAGAAAAAAATGAATATACGCAGAATCAGCTAGTCCAAGATCAGTCTGATAAAGCATATATAAATCCTATAAATGAAAATGTGTACGAGGAAATCAATGGGGAACAGGGTGCAACAAGAAATGTAAAATTAGAAAGAGATACTATAACTGGTCACTATGATCAAATGCCGCATCCAATAACATATACACCCCTATCTGCTCTTAGTGAAAGATGTATTGGTGATTTAAATCTTGGGTCTGATGCCAACGGAGATTATTATGATATGGTAAAAGAACACGAGGAGGACGATTCCTGTGTGTTTGAAAATAAGGATCGTGTAACAAATGTTGCTGACATGACACCGGCATCATTAGAAGGTATTTTTTCTTAAAGTTACTGATAGTAGTAAACAAGCAGTTATTGAGTAGAAAGAATCTTGAAATATTATCGGAATGCATGATATGTGAATATTACGTAAGCTAATTGCGAATTGCAAATTATTCCCCGATGTATCCTATATGAAAGTCACTCATATGGGACTTTATAACATGACGAGATCTAAATATTAATGAAAAGGACCATAAGAGTTTACATGGCAATATATTTGTAGACGTATTTTATGAACACACGTTTCGCATAATGTTACCTTAGTTGAAATGATTTCTTTTTCAAAGGAAACGAGTTTAAAGTAGAAATTGAACGTTCAAAGTTGGCAAAGATGTATTCGCTGAAAGGAAAGATGACATTGTCATTTCAAGATAAGGAGGTCGTTCTGAAAGATGTAAACACGCAAAGTGACAAATATAGGTTTCCGTATACCTGGATAAAACGTTTTGGGATTTATAAACCATTCATCTCCTTTGAAATGGGAGCTGGAAAAATTATATGCAAAACAAAAGAAGCAGAAATAATAAATCGGAAGTGCCTTGAAGTCATAAAAACTCTTGCAAGTAAGAAATGACCCCAAGAAAATAATAGAAATGCACGATCCCTTTGAAATCATTCATTTTTCTCTGATATATTTTTCACGTGTAAATTAACACGTATACAAATAAATTTATGAAACAACTAAAGAATTTTTAATAACAAAACAAAAAAGACTACGACATACAACCTATCCAATTGAATTACAGTTTAACCTCTTTACAGCAGCCAGCAGTCGGACAATCCAAAATTGACTAATCTAGAGAGGTGGCTGTTGCTCGGAGGATTTGTGTCACACATAATACTTTTATTACTTTAAATGCTATTGAATTGAAGGTTTAAAGAGACATGACATATTCGGAATACAGGACCCTTTCAAGAGATTATCATCAGTATATAGGTACATGTATTCATTACTTAAAAGTGTTGATGCTGAGACACACATCATTGGATGTATACGTTGGTGGGGAATATGAAAATGAGCATGAGTCTTATGAACATATTTTTGGTTCATGCACATGGATTTTAGTCAAAAGTCAGGCTGGGAATCTGGATGGAATCTTGAATCATAAGAACATTGTAAATTTAAATGGAGGAATGCTACACCAAAATGATGTCTCATGTTAATACCTTATACACATTTTTTTTTGTTATTGTTTTTGTGTTTTTTTCCTTCTTGCTTTTGTTTTTTTGTCAGATTTTTCATTGACTTTCACACATTTTGTCAGATTTTTCATTGACTTTCACACATTTTGTCAGATTTTTCATTGACTTTCACACATTTTGTCAGATTTTTCATTGACTTTCACACATTTTGGTCATCTCTCGGTGGTCGGTTAAGCGGCATGCCTCCAGATTCATGCTAATTTTTATGAGAATTTTAAAAAATGTATTTGAAAGTAATTATTTTGAAGTGAACAAATAAAGTATTCTAACACGACCCGCATTTTTCCCTATTGAACATAGAAGAACAGAAAGTGTGTGTTATTATGCAACAGATGCACAGTTTGACATTCTATATTTAGACATGTGACGTAATCATTATACACGTGACGTAACCACTAAAAATCCGGCGCGCTGAAAATAAGTACGGAAACAAATCAGGCGCAATTTTGCTTAACTATCAAGTACGGCAACATTAAATTGTTGATGTCGTGTTAGAATCGAAATAATATACCAAAATCAGTGATTTTATCGCTTGATAACATCACTGTTTGTCGTTCGGATGCGCATCATTATATCACTCGGGCTACGCCCTCGTGATATAACTCCTCGCATCCGAACTCCAAACAGTGATGTTATTGAGCGATAAAATCACTGTTTGGGATATATTATTTCTTAATTTTACACAATGCAAACGGCACTTATAATTTTAATTAAAGATTTGGAAAAGAATACCATTTAATATCCGTTCTTCTAATTCTCTGACATCTTTAAAAAATAGTTATGAAAAAAACATACCTTGTAGATCAAATAAATATCTTCATAACTCTGTCCTTATGTTATAATACTTATTATACATGTTTATTTGTTAATAATGTGTAACTGAAAATTGTATGAATGTTATTGTTGAAAGAAATACTTGTTTCGACAATTCAATATTAAGTATGTCTATGCAAGCAAAAAATAATTTACTCTATCTCGATAAAAAAAAACAATAAAACCAAGTTTACAAATTTTGACATACGCATTTTTGGGGAGGCTATGCCGACCCAATGTTAATAACTGTTCGTCAAATCTTACTGCCGCGGTAATCAGGTCACTGCCGCGGTAATCAGGTCAAAAAATAGTACCTTGATCTTTTCTAAGCTGACTCATCACTCATCACAGACATTTACAATATGAAAATATTTTCATTCTTTAATTTCATATCTGCCATTTGTAAAGATAATAATTCTCTGAAAAATTCTTGATTTTTGTTTAAATCACTACTCCGTGACGTCATACTGCCGCGGTAATCAGGTTTAGGCATACGCGTACGTCTGTAATAAATAGTTCTGGTATGAAAACCCTTCAAAATAATAACTTTATCAATATTTTTTTAACAAAAAGCATAAATGAAAATTTGTAAGTAAATGCTTTAATTTAGTGGCAAATATTCTTTATTATTCTTGATAACAATTTTCCAATTACTACGCAGCGACCAACTGTTTATGACGGGTCATTAACTAGAACGTTCCAACACCGTATTCTCCATTGTGTACACCGGTCTTACTGACGATATTTGAGACCGGTGTATATACAATGCCGTATTCTCAATATCATGCATGTTCTTTTGTTGTTATAAACCATTAAAAGTCCTTAATATTTTTTAAAGACAAATAATTGTAAACTGTCGCTTACATCAGAGACATGGATCATGCTTGCGTGATAACTAAGGAAAACTAACTTATTAGTACACCCCAGGAGGCTGTACGCGGAAAACGGTCATAAACCGCTATATCATAGCTGTTAGTAAATATTTTGCATACATTTAACTAAAAATTCACTGATGGTGATGAGCATATAGTTTGAAACATTATATTCTTGAACCATTATCGCCGAAAAAAAACTATTTAACTACAAAACCCCTATAAGGACCTTCCGACAAAATTCCAGCACAATATTACATTTTACATTAGCAAAATAAAAAAGCAATACTTATATTTTCATCTTACATAATTCATTAATCAAACTTTTAACATAAAAGTATATTTGGCAATTGACAGATCCCTACTCTGATCTTTTATTTGTATAGGAATAAATTTAAACATGTGCTCTTTTGTTTAGGAATATTTTGTAGTGAAAGTCTTATATATTCACTGATCTCATAATTAGAATTAGACAGGTCAGGGATTTATACAACCAGTTGTTTACTTAACTATGCTCATTTTAATCCCAATAGAAACATTCAAATATTTGGGGTATAAAACATGACCAAAGTACCTAGTAGTCGTTTACCCGGTGGTGATCCCATTAAACTGATTATAGATTCGAATTGATTAGAAAACACAAATAGAAACATGTGTTTCCGTACAACAAAAATCGGAAGTAAAGTGAACAGTTAATTGACAGAAATATGTGGTCAAATATGTTTTAACAAAGAAATAATTATTTCAGAGAAAGACGCAAAGATCAGTATGACCCCGTATTGTGTAATTAGAAAGTTTATTCAAGTCTAGGGCATACATGTACATCATAATTTGATAGTCCATGTGTAATAAAATTCAAATTTTCAATACAGATTATGAGATACATAAAAAATATTAAAGAATAAGAAGCTTTAATTAAAAAAACAAAAACAAAAAAAAAACGCATACATATACAAATTACTTACAGTCGAGCATCGGGAAGTCATTAACATATCTTACGAAACTTTAATTTGAAAACGATATTTGCGCGCGCTGAAGTGATTAATGTTTATTTGAAAAATAAAAAAAAGAACTTTTATGTTTGTGTTCTAAAAATAATCGGCGGCATAAGAGGAATTTCTTATTCATTTTACAACACTTGAAAAATTACTACAGAAAATGTGTTGTTGTTTTTTTTGTTTTGTTTTCAACAAAAGTGAGTGTGTTTTAAGTTTATTTATACTCGGCGCCGGAATAACCATATGTCCGAGATTATAGCATCTGGGACGTCTTTTTCAAGCAGATTCTTCCTGGAAGCCCATTCTTCGTTCTTTGGTGGTAAAGGAGACGACAATACCGTCAAGGCATCAACTTTCTGACTGACGACAACAAAAACGGCATCTATTAGCGCCAAACCTCCAGAGTAAGTCACGACAGGTCAACCAATCACCTCTGGTACTTATGATGACTTGACTATGTCCTTCCGTGTGCCTTCTCCGCGACGTGCACGCCTCTGGAGGAAATTGGAGAAGTTTCAACAAAAACTTCCAAAACACGCCATTTATAACATCATTCATAGCACTGACGGCTTCGGTGTTCTCATCTATTTGCAGGAAATGGTCGACAGGGAAAACCCTACGTAATAACCGCACACCCTGTTAACGACAGATTTTCCGCAGTATATATTTCAAGCTAGTGAGGTTTAAAAATACACAAGCTATCGATTAACTACCATTAGTTGGTTGAGTGTTGGCGGTAAAAAAAGAAGATATAACTTCCTGATCAATTTTCACTTAGGTTGATTCAGTTTTGAATAAGCTTTGCAGATATGTATTTTTTCAAGAAATATTTAGCTTTAATATTATCCGACGCCGTCAGTAATGAAATGGGAATAATTTTCTGAAACGTGATTTTATTCGAGATTTGCTTCTTCTTCTTCCAGTATAAGAGCCGGGATCCAAACGGAACGTAATGAGGCTCTGCGAAAACTATGTACATGGTGAGATGGAACACTCTTCCGCTCAGCGATAAAAGTTGTAAAAACTGATAAAAACTTTATTTACAGAGACGTTGTGAAGTGAATTTAGAAGCTTCTGGAGAAGACAACCTTCTGTCCGTAGAGCATGAATATTAATAATCATCACAAGACAGTATCTTATTGATCTCAATTATGGTACATCTAAACGTGTATAATTTTTATGTTCAATAAAAATGTTGCATCACTTGCAGTTGTTATTATCATTCAATAATATTAAAATGACATAAAGTATTTATGATGAACAGTCCTAGAATATTTTGACACAGGAACTTGAAATTCTATCAAATAATCAATATTAATTATAATATCCAAATATACCCCCTATATACTATAAATTTTTTATAGTATATATGGGGTATATTTGGAAATTATAATTAATATTGGTTATTTGACAGAATTTCAAGTTCCTGTGTTTGTGTTTTTTTTATAGTATATAGGGGGTATATTTGGATATTATAATTAATATTGGTTATTTGATAGAATTTCAAGTTCCTGTGATTTTGATAAGGAACCGTCAGTTGTAAAATGTTATTGTTATCTGATAATGAACAGTCGTCATACTTGCTGGTATGTCATTTATTATTGACAGTTTAGGTTTTTTCAAAATTTGTATGATTAACAGTCCGAATGTAGACCTCAATGAAATGTTCTGGAATATTAACAAAATGAATAGTCAACCACATTAACCATATATATGAATGGTTGAACACAACAGTAAGGATAAATAGCGCAATGTGCATATCTTTTTATTTTGGTAGCATATTTTAAGCAAAAAGAAAAGACACTATAAGTCTGAAACATTCTCTCATAGCCTCCCCATCAGTACATTCAGTGCTTTGATTTATAATATTTTCATTGCACTTCAGGGCTTATCTTCCATTGAAATATTTTTATTCCTGAAGGTTGAAAAGGCCAGTGACATTTATGATAAGATTTGCTTGAATAAATGATGAAACTCAGAAGAACTGTTACGAAAAGAAAGTAAGAATAATAATGGCTTACTTGAAGAATGTCTAAAGACTTAAAAAAATTGCAGTTTTCCTATTTGTTCGCTTACCCGACAGTACCTCTTAATAAAGTAGTTGGTACTTAGAAGCCTAAACTTCATTCTTTTCCTTGAAACTACTTAACTACTTAAAAGTTTAATACTGTAACACATTAACAGCTTACATAAGTACGTCAGTTATAAATCGTTCAGAAAGTGAAATCATATCTTTATATCATCTGTATGACATTGTACGCGAGATTCTGCAGTTTGTCTTTTGGCTAGATTACTGTTAGACCACTTTAGTCTTTCAGGACCGTAAGTTAATATGTGTTTGATAAGGTAAGATTTATTACTTATCATCATATGTATTTGCATGTACAAGTACAATCAGAAAGTTAACATAATTCTTGTTCAGATAATTTAATATTAAATATAAATTCTTACATAATGCAGGAATTGTTTGGGGTCTATAAAAAAGAAATTAAAGTATTTTTCCACAGATGGAATTTTTTATGTTGTTGCGCGAGGGTTTGGGAAAAAATCGATGCCCACATAAACAGTCTAGGAACACTAGAAAAGCATTATAAAATATGGGAAATCAAAGTGGGAAAAAAAAACTGAAAAATTCTCAAATAGACATTTGGGTTTTTAAAAAACGTTGGTAACTTTTGGATTCTAAAAACAGATAACATAACAAAACGACTTGTATTTCTTGACAATGCTAAAGATGTTGTTATCAATGATGGCATCTTAATAGCTGATGAAAGATTATTTGAAATACACAAAAATGGAAAAGGTGAATATATATTTCGCAAGATAGAAGATCTTAATCCCGAAACATACTTTACTTTGAGGAATATTCCACCAAGAAAATTAGGGGATTGTGAAGACACTACTGATAAAGGTAAAACTGACCAGTGTCAAATTCTAGCTCAGGATGAAAGAACATATACAGATCATGTTTACGAAGAAATACCAGTGGATAATCAAGCGGAACAAACAAGAGACAGGGTATGTAACGATATGACGAAAGGACATGAGAGGTTTGATTTTGGGAGTACAGAGGTAGATAATGTAATAAACGTAGTACAAAGTTCTACTGAAGGTAATAATGTTTTAGTTATTGTTTGTTTTAGACCAATAAACTATATAGCAATATATATAATGTTTTAGTTTTAAACAATTTTCATCTAAAATAATAAAATTCTGGATGATATGATGATATAAGAGTATAATTGGTAGAAAAAGTACATGTAGTTTATCTGAAGGTTTCATATCAATTTTTGTTTTCCTGTTTTGGTTTAAAGATTTTTAAGTGTTGTTTTCTTTCTTTAAGTGCTCAGCATATTTAATTTCCTTTTAAATACATAATATTTTATTGTTATTCATATGGTTAGTAGGATAAGTATTATTAAGTAGTATTGTTTAAAAAGGGAAGTATTTATGTCATCACAAACAACATTTAGGACTTTCAACACGCATCAGTGCAGTGTTTTAACAGACAACCTTTAGCCACTTTCTCCCGCATCACCTCTCAATATGATATTGTTTTTAAGTGTTTTGTATTTTGTCACTAAATTAGATTGATTCTATCAATATAGGGAAAGAGTTTCAGGTAACAATTATGCCTTCAAATCTGGTAAAAAGTTGTGGCATTGGAGGAAAGATGACACTTTTGATACAAGATAAGGACATCGTTCTGAAAGATTCTATTTCGCAAAGTGAAATTTACAGATTTTCGATGCGCTGGATAAGACGCTTCTGGACAGAGAAATCATTATTCTGTTTTGAAGTAGGCCGAAGGTGTCCGATGGGAGATGGACAAGTGTGCTGTAAAACAAAAAAGGAAGACAAAATTTTGGAAATAATTAAGCATAAATGTCTTGAACTCAGAAAAAATTGAATGATAATAATAATGAATAATTTTTAAGTATCAGTTTATCAAAACAGTTGATTTTTATAGAATAAGTAGAATTGATGTAAAATCATGTGTTTTCTTTCATTGTATAAGCAATGTTTCACTCCAATTACAAGAGAACGGTTTTTTTTTATATTTCTAATGTTGTAAGCTTTGATTTACATGTGTTTCCTGATTTGTTTCTGATGAAGAACATTGTTTGATAAATAAAGACTATAAAGTAGCTTAAACCTACTCTGGAGTTTTTGACGTGCTGTTCTATATGCTTTCCTTGTTTACTTAGAGTATGTCACTTCAGTTTACTTTTTCAAAAGTGTTTCCAAACAGCATTTGTTCAATGTAATATTTTTTAAGTGTTCATGAACAATAAATTCAGTTTTGAACATATACTGTATACTAGTATGTCCCACTCCTCCAAGGAATCCTTGACTAATCTCAGTTAAATTTAAAGGTCAGTGTCCAAAATATTCACGGGCAAATTTTAATATTTGATAATGTAGAACAAATCTAAGTTAGTTTATTTTTCATAATGTACACGTAAAATTATCGGTAATTGTCTTAGTATAACCCTTAAAATACCCGGTTTCACACAGATGTACAAGTTGCTTCCTGTTATGCAAGTGCGGCCTCAAACCGGAATTGACTAACATATTATCCCTATGTAAAATATTAATAGTTGCAGGCTAGGTTTCTCGTAGTGCGGAAAAGGTTAAAGCAGTACGCAGATTCACATGCTAATTCTGATGAAAATTTCGAAAAAAATATTTAAAAGTAAAATATTGTGAAGTGAACAAAGAGAATAATGTTCACATTGCAAACATCACTAACAACCCATTTTAATTACAAACAACCCATTTTAATTACCAAAAAAGATCAAAATATACAAAAATAGCCCTTTCTGCGTTAATAACGCTGTAGAAATATGTTGAAAATTACTGCAAAATAGGTCATAAATCACACATAACATGGATAGTATAACTTTTATTTTGAATCTATTTACTTTTTTTTAAATCTCAGTACTATTTTTTATTTGTCTTGAAATATTTTTGCTCATCTGGAGGTATGCAGCTTTAAAGCTGAAAAATCAAAATTTGTATATAAAAAGCTTACTCTCTGAATTGTCTTTTTTCAGTTCCCAATATATTTTCTTTCCGAATATATTTATCTTAGAATACATGCGTTACATGCTGCAGATAAATGTACATGGTAAATATGTTTCAAATGACTGCTGTCCTCTAATAGACAGGACTGATTTTTAGGATTTGGCTCCCTATAAGATGCTAGAGGCATTTTGTAGTACAAGTGGTATCTTGGTATATTTTACCTATTTAAGGTATGCTGAATCCGATAAAGGTGGATACCAAATTGAAAAACTTGATCTTGACCATTGAAATGGCCATTTAAAATGACCACTAAAATGGCCGCCAAATTTCTTTATTATAAATGGATGACATATCAAAGAAATTTGTCACAAAGCATGTTTAGGTAAAAACAAATTAGACACCAAACAGAATTAAAAGCACAAAACAATCCAAAATGGCCGAAAAATCCAAGATGGCAGACATTTTTCTATAGGCTAATATAATAGTAATATAGAAGTCATATTAAAGATAGTACTGAAAATTTTAAGGCATTTAAACATATTTAGGGTTTACGCAGCGAACACTACACTCTTTCCTGCCCTATATGCTAGATTTTATCTGGCACTCTATGCAAGCATATAAAGTGGCTACTCGGATGCCTTCAGCGTTAAGATGTTTGAGGGGGTTAAAACGTGTGCATGCAAAATATACAATAATTATTTTTCTCTGAGTACCCTTGGGTTTTGGTGTTCGTTTTTCTGTTATCGGTCGTCGTCTTCGTTCTTCTGTTATCGGTTGTCGTCGCATTTCTCTTCTGTCAGATACTAGTATTCTGTTATTGGTCGTGACTTTCGTTCTTCTGTTATTGGTCCCGGTCGCAGTTCTCTTGTTGTCAGTTCTTCTGTTATTGGTCGTGATCTTCGTTCTTCTGTAATCGGTCCTGGTCTAAGTTCTTTTGTTGTTAGATGATCTGTTATCGGTTCTCGTCTCTGTTTTTCTGCTATCGGTCGTCGTCTTCGTTCTTCTTTTTTCGGTTCTCGTCTTCGTTTTTCCGTTATCCGTTCTTGTCTCTATTCTTCTGTAAGAAGTTCTGGTCTACGTTTTCTTGTTGTCAGTTATTCTGTCTTCAGTCCTCGTCTATGGTATTCTGTTATCGGTCCTGGTTTATATTTTTCTGTTATCAATCCTCGTCTCCGTTGTCTTGTTGTCAGTTCTTCTTTTATCGGTCCCTGTCGTGTTCTGTTATCGGTTCTCGTCTTCGTTCTTTTGTCATCGGTTCTTATCTCTATTATTCTGTTATCAGTCCTTTGCTTGTTGTCAGTTTTTCTGTTATCGGTCCCTGTCCTGTTCTTCTGTAAGCGGTCCTCGTCTATGATTGCTTGTTGTCAGTTCTTCTGTTATCGGTGGTCCCTGTCCTGTTCTTCTGTTAGCGGTCCTCGTCTCTGTTCGCTTGTTGTCAGTTCTTCTGTTATCAGTGGACGTCTATGTTCGCTTGTTGCCAGTTCTTCTGTTATCGGTCCCTGTCTCTGTTCTTATGTTATCGGTCCTCATCTTTGTTCGCTTGTTGTCAGTTCTTGTCTCCGTTTTTCCTTCTGTTATCGGTCGTCGTCTTCGGTCTTGTACTTTCGGTACTTGTTTCCTGTTCCGTTAAGGTCTTCTCTTGTATCTATCGTTGCCGTCATTCTTTGTTGATGTCCTGGTTACCACTGCACCATAGCGCCCGCTCTGAATAATAACCATTTTTGAAAATCCTTTATACATTAAATACTATTTCAATGGCTAACAAAGGGTGTATTACAATTATAGTTTAACACCTCTACTATATAGCCTACCCACGTGGCTTTTATATGGTCAAAGAAAATATTACTCGATTTACAACAAATAATGTTTTTATAGATATCTTTGCTGTTACTTTAAGATATCCTATGCTTTTTTATTATTATTATTATTTTTTATTTTTTTATTTATTTTTTTTTTTTTTTTTTTTGGGAGGGGGGGGGGGTAGGTAGGAGGGGGTGCCGTATATATTTTAAAACACTTTTTTGTCTCGGTTTGTGTTGTGTTTATGGCATTGAAATGATATTTTTTTTGACATTTCAAAATAATTTTTAAATATTCATTTTAAGACATAAATACCACAATAAGTGCAAAATATATGAAAACACAATGAACAACTTTAAAAATATCATAGCTACAAATAATGTTGAAAATTACGGAACACCTGAAGTGATATTTTCCACACTTTCTCCCGGAATTGAATTCGTTTTTACGAGATAATAATTCCCAATTAGAAATATTATTTCGTTTTAACGAAATATAAAATCTTAATTATGAAATATTGATTCGTTATTACGAAATATTATTTCGTAAATTCGAAATATTAATTCGTTATTACGAAATATTATTTCGTAATTATGGAATATTAATTTGTTATTACGAAATATTTATTCTTTGGTAATATTTATAAACTAAGCTTATTGTTAAATATAAGTCAAGTAAAAAAAACATAAAAAGTGATTTTTTCAATCTTATTATTATACCTTAATGCGCTAGTAAAACAGTACTGTATATACTGTTAATTGAGCCATTAGGCTTATAATCGCTATATTTGGTGGCCAATCTCATTAAAATCTGATCATATTAAATAATCATTTGATTTTGACAAGAATAATTAATTGCATCATATTGTATCATAGTTTTAATGACCTATTTTAGTATTTTTAAGCGGCCATTTTGAATTGACCTTTTGAAGGACGAGGTCAATTTTATTTTCTTGGTATCCACCCTCATCGTCTTTAGCATACCCATATTAGGTTAAAACACTCAAGATATTACTTGTACTATAAAATGCCTCTAGCATTCATATTTTCTTAAAATCAGTCCTGTCTATAATAGACACTGTTTAATATTTACTTGTGAATTATCTTTTACTCGTAAAGAATACGCATGCGCGGGCGCAATGAAACTTCCGTTTCTATGGAAATATCGTATTGTAAAAATGTCATTTATATGCATATTGATATGAATATTTAGAAACATGTCTCAATTGCCTTACTATGTGTCTCATACAACCTCTAATATTTCAAAAACAGGTAAATATTCCACTTATACAAAACATTTACATTAACATTAGTTCAGAAAAGTAACATAATAGGAGAAGATGGCGCGTTCTCTTATAATGGTAAATTTGCTAAAACAAAGAATCATTTATTAGAACAGGCAAGAAAGGCTATGTTTTCAATTATAGTTAAGGCTAGAAAATTGGATTTACCTATAAGTATGCAAATTCATTTATTTGATAGCATGGTAGCACCTATATTGTTATATGTTAGCGAAGTTTGGGGAATTGAAAATGTGAATATCATAGATAGATTTCAATTAAAATTTTATAAACTCATATTAAATTTGAAACAAAGTTCTCCAAATTGTATGCTTTATGGTGATTTAGGGATATTACCTTTATCTATTCATATAAAAAGTATAGTTTTGTGCTTTTGGAATAAGATTTTAAGTAGCAAACAAGAATCAATAAGCCATATATTGTATGATATGTCACACTCTTTGTATTGTAGAAATGTGTTGGTTTATACAAATTTATTTTAGTTCGATTGTGTTGGAAGCTATAAGCTTATTGAAACACTGTTGAAACTCCCATGGATGAATAGTGTTTGTAAATTACTAGATTCACTGGGTTTATCATTTTTTTGGATTAATAATGTTGCCACTTCTCTTCCATTGTCTAAGAAAATTGTTAAAAATAGACTGAAAGATCAGTTCGTTCAAAATTGGCATAGTAAAATGTCAGAATCAAGTAAATGTCTGAATTATAGAATGTACAAAAGTGAATTCAGATTTGAAAAGTTTTTAGATATTTTACCATCTCATTTAGCTTTGGTACTATTGCGCTTCAGATGTATGAACCATAAATTGCCTTTTGAGTCTGGTAGATTTTGTAATATACCAAGAGAATTAAGAGTGTGTAATTTATGCAATAATAGCTCACTTGGTGATGAATATCATTACTTATTTAATTGTCAATTCTTTAATACTGATAGAAAAAATATATAACTAGAGAGTATAGTACTAATGTTAATTCAATCAAGTTTTCTATGTTAATGAATAGCACAGAAAGGAGTATATATTGTTATAACTTGCAGTATTCTGTAAAAAAAAAATATTTCAGCATTTAAGTAACTGATAACTAAGCTTATTTTCATAATGTAACACTTTCATTTTTGATTTATATTTGCCATGTAGTACATCAGTATATTTCGTGGATATCTCTTTATGATATGTCATATTATATGTATATATTATTATATATGTGACTGATGCCTCTCAGAGGCCCAGCATTTTCAATAAACTGTTCAAACTGTTCAAACTGCACCGTGCAATTTTGTATTGGACAGGCTAAGATTTGAAAATTTCAAATATATATAAAAAGATCTATTACTATATACAAAATATAACATATAGACAAAGCATGTTAATACTTGAACTTGTTAAGACTAGTTAAGACTATTCTAGTTATCTTTGAAAACTCGTTTAAACTAGATCACAAAAAAGAAAGAAAAGAAAAAATTGAAGAATAAATAATAATAAAAGCGCAAGCAAATAGATGAATACAAGCAATTTTCAGGTGTCACTTTAATTGCATTGGAATTCTGATGTTGACAGCTTAACCCAGTAGTCTCATGAAGTAAAACAAGTTCTATATTCCTTTTTAGTGAGTACCCGAGCGAAAACGAAGATTGAAGATATGGCACTTTAAGTATAAAGTTGGTTATACTACACCATATTCATATCCTATTTCTTTATGAAAGAAAAAGCTGTTATAATATTATTCTTGCGTGTCAAAAAAATGTCAGTTGCTTAAATTAGAAATGTCCTATATTAGTGTCATAAAAAAATTGTATATCGCACGCACTGCTGACAATTTAATATATAAGGTATATTTTATTATAAACTTGTCGGGCAAGAAAATAAACATTGATAATTGAAATTATTTGATTTTTTTTGTATAGCCGTATATATATTTTTTACATCAACGTTTGATTTTTTAATGTTCATGTAAAATATGTTATCATATTATCGTCCGCTGAAGACTGCTGTATGTAGATCAGCTTGTCCCTTAGCCCAGACTTTTATCCGTCTGTCTGTTATCCGTCAGTCACAATTTAACTGAAGCATTCAACTATAACTATTTCAGGCATTAACCAGTTTTACTTCGACCGAGTATCTTTTTTTAAAAAGATACTTCTTGTTAAATGAATATACATGTAACAGTACGCACA